CTGAAGAAAAGTACCCACTTGGACCTTATGATATTTGTTTGTAGCTTTGTCCTGGTTTTAGTTTCCTGCTTAATGGCTAAACGGCACCACAGTGGGTAATGCACTGGAGTAAGAGTGGTGAATCATTAAAGAGTTCGTAAATTTTAAAAACAGGGGCAGGCCTTCTGGGTCCCATATGCTTCTAGAAAATCCAATGTTGTACCGTATTAATTGAACCGTGAAGCTTTTATTAGTTCTCTTTAAAAATGGCTTGCAGTGAAGCTTTTATTAATGCTTGCCCTCAAATTGTTTATGCTACTTAGCATTTTCAAAACAATTCATATTTCAAAGAATGTTTTGATCATTAGTTAAATCTACATTTTTTAAAATTTTTTAAAAATTTAATTTGCTTAGCAAATAATTATATATATATATATATATATATATATATATATATATATAGGGTACAATATGACACTTGGATCTCCGTTTATATTGTAAAACAACTAACTCTATTAATTAGCAAATCCATATAGATATCTACTTTTGTGGAAAAACAATTTGAATATGATTTTTTAGTTATTCTGAAAAGAAACAATGCATTATTTGTTAAATCTACATTTCCATAAGAGAATGCAGCTGTTTTGTAAAACTGAGGCATGAGGGGAAATCCCTTAACCAATTTTGACCCAAGATTTGCCCATGAAAAAGTAAATATTATATGGAAAAATGAATAGAAGATGGATCTCGCTAAAACCTTTAGCTGATATAAGTAGTAAGGTTCTCCCACTCCATATGGGTAGAATAGAATAGAACATTGATAGATGTGTTTCTGTATGATTATGAAATAGAGAAATAGCTAATTTATACAATAAGCTTAAAAACTAATGTCATGGCCCGATGCCTATGGGTCATGTTTTTAATCCTAGCTACTCAGGAGGCTGAGATCTGAAGACTGAAGTTCAATGCTAACCTGATCAGGAAAGCCCATGAGAGTTATATTCAATTAACCACCAAAAAGCTGGAAGTAGAGCTGTGGCTTGAATGGTAGAGCACTAACCTTGAGAGAAAATGCTCAGGGAGAATGCCCAGGCCCTGGTTTGAAGTTCCAGGACTAGCAAAAGCAACTGAAACAATAAATTAATGGTATCAGACTTTTCAGTACAGACATGGCCACTTGTGCCTTCCAAACCTACAATTCTAGGGAATACATGCACATTGGCTGTTATATGTTTGCAAAATTCCTTTGAATACATTTGCCAACGAAGTTACACCATGCAAACTAGTTTTATAAATGTAAACATCATATTAAAATCAATCATCTTAGAGTTAATGTACCCCTTATTAAGTGTCTAGGTTCCAATCATATTTTCTAAAATCTTGTGATTCTTCTAAAAACGTGCTCTGGAATAACACAGGATTAAACTTTGCCTGAAGAGAAACAAATGTACTCTGTATCTCCCCCTCCTGAAACTGATGCACCTTAGCACAGAATACCTGTAAGCCCCCAGAATTTCCCCTCCAAATGATTAGCTGTAACAACAGTCCCAGTTGTCTAACATTCTTTCTAGTAAGGACCAAATAACAAAAATTTCCATAACTTAGTTCACAAAAGGCTTACACTGAGATAGGACTTAATACTTTGTGTTTTCATAGAATCTCAAAGATACTCTAACACTATTGGACAGAGTACAGATTAAAGTGCAATTCTCCACTGTGTATTATGGTATCTACTGCCCAACTCCCATTCCCTACAAGGCAATACTATGAGGATCATTAGTGGAGGAATTTAGAGATCTGTATTCATGTTTCACAATAACCCTGGTTGATTTTTTTTAGTCTAATACGTTTGGTAAATGTTACAGAAAACCTTCTAAACTCTAGCAATCTTTGAAAAGGCAAGTTACCAGAAATAGTATCCATACACTTCCACCAAAGAAATAAATTTATAGTCTTATATTTATCAAAATACTTAAGACCTTGAATAAACTAAAAACTATTAACATTTGTCTTTCCCACTAAAGATTTATATTTTTGTTTTTTTTTATTTTTGAGGTTTTTGATTTTGCTTTGTTTCTGTTTGTCCACAGGGTAGACACTTTTTGTGTTCCTATTGCTCAATATATGTCCTGGCATAAAACAGACACTTGGTAAGTTTTAAACTAATGAATGATCAGGCCAACTGCAGCAGTTGTCTGCCAGTCATATTCAGTTTCCCTCTTTATCTTCCCTCCCCCAAAATACCCAATGGTCTAACTTAGAACATTATTGGGATACTAGGAGTAAAATAAAATATACAAAAATCAGCACTGTTTGACTGAATACAACCAGTCTGTACCTGATATCAATAGTATCTGAATATGGATAGAAAAATCACTTCTGAGAACAGTGTCAATGCATGGGAAAAATAAGAATTTTATCTGGAAACCAATTTTCACAAAAATTTAAATAGTTTGAATATCAACTTTTCAAAGAATTTCTGGAACTACTGAAGTCAATCTATCTTTGTAGTTCAGGATGACTTGTGGGAGCCATTTGTGAAACAAAAAGCAAAATAAATGGATGATGATTGCCTAAGACCAATTTAATTGTTTAGATAGTTTAAAAACAAAAAAAAGACAAGCAAATACTTTTTCTAACTCAAATGATCAAGTTTTATTTTGCTAATAGAATACATTTGGCACCATAAGATACTAGGTAATAACAACAGAAGAATACTTCGCGTTTGTGCCAAGAACATTTTCTTTTATCCACATAAAATGCATTTCAGATCCCTGATCAGTGTTTATTACTTGCAATAAGTAGAAGAGACTCACCCACCCAGCCCATTTCCTTTGATATTTCTCAACCTCCGATTCCATTCATATAAACATCTGAGTTGACTATGACCTCTGCATAATGTTATTCGAGGCCAAAAGAATTATGTATAAGAAACGAATATATAAAAGAAATGCTAATGACCTTAAAGGCAAGTGAACTTCATTCATTCAGCGTTTGTCTCACTTATCCTTCACTTTTTTCCTTCTCCTAATTGAAAAAGTATCATGACTAGCATGCTACTTTTCATTAAAACAGCAGCCTCAAAGGATATTTTCATGTTGTAAAAATCAGTGCTTTAAGCTGGGCACTGGTGGCTCACAGCTGTAATCCTAGCTATTTAGGAGGCTGAGATCTGAGGACCTTTGTTCAAAGCTAGCCAAGGCAGGAAAGTTCGTGAGACTCTTATCTCCAATAAACCACTAGAAAACTGGAAGTAGAGCAGTTACTCAAAGTGGTAGAGCACAAGTCTTGAGCAAAGGAGCTCAGGGACAATGCCAAGGCCCACAGTCAAAGCCCCACAACTGACAACAACAACAAAAAAATCAATGTTATAAAATCAATATTCTCTGGGAACAGGGTATGTTGATTCTAGTTGCCAAATATTGTTAGTTGCCAAATATTTGACCATGATGGTTCTAAATTAAATGTCTCTATTAAAGTGTACAATATGGAGACATTAAATTTATATACAGATAGACAGATACCTATTTAAGTTGTGTGTATATGATGCAGAAATTATTACCAGTTCATCTCAATAGAAAGATTAATAATAGGGAGGAGGTGACACTTTTCAAAAGGAATATACTCATTACCTGACTTATGTAACTGTAACCTTTCTGTCCATCACCTTTGCAATAAACTTTTTAAGATTAACACTATATTACCATTGTAGTGAGCAAGATGGTGCACACTTCAGTAAGGCTCTGTGAAGAGAGTATGAGGAGCAGGTATAGAAGGAAACATTTGCAGTTCCTGAAGCATGCATGGTCTACAGGCAGCAATAGCATCACCACCTAAGAGAATCTGTGAAAATTACAATTCTCTAACCCTATCCTATATCTATTTAATCAAATACTATAGTTAGGGGCTTGCTTTAAGTGATGTTAATGCACACTGAAATTGGGGAACTACTGGGCTATGCAGGGACTCCGAGACAGTAGCAGATAACTCTTCCTCTGCTTAAACTAGCAACATGACACCAAATTGTTCCATCACAGCTGTGACTAAAGACTGTGAGAAATCTTCAGTTCCTCCTTCAGAATCAATAATCACAGTTATCCTTTCCCATAATTTCCACTTCCAAACTCAGCACACACATTGGCAGCCTATTGAAAGGTGTGCAGCAAGGTTGATGAGATGGTGGACTTCAAGAGCAGCTAATCAGGGTGCAACACTCCAGAGAGTAAAAATCTTGGCAAAAGGTGTCCTGTTTTGATCTCTAAGTATCATCTTACAGTAACTTTGACCTAGAGAACTGTATAACCTAAAGTATATCAACAGATGGACGAAGGTACAGAAATGAATACTCCTATAATAATGCAAGCATAAAATTATTGTATAATTTTTCTGTGACTTACCATGGTATCCACCACTGTCAAAACTGGTATAATATTTGTTCCAAGAGTGACGCCCTATTCCTGTGGTGTCACTGGGTGTTGGCTGCTGATCACAGCACTACACAAGCCACACATAACACTTTGGATATGGAGGAAGCAGGTGCTGAGATTATTATTAAATATGTATATAGGAAACAGGAGTGGCAGCAAAGAAGGGTGGGGAGGAAAAATATCTTCCTGTGTGTCAAAGAGATGGAGGTGGAGTCATTCCACGAGCTAATTCCCAAACCCCACAGCATAATCTAAAAGCAAATAGACACATTAGGTCAGAAAGACTATGAGTGCAAATTAGATTCCTGAGTCATATTTAATATTTATAACTTCATAAAATGCTATCTGAATGGTATATTGAAAACAGAAAAATAAAAGCTCAGTGCTCAGACAACACTGCAAATGAAATAAATTGCCCAGAAAGCAATCTGGGTTGAATTATAGTATTCAAAGTTGAAAATTTATTGTTCTATCAATTAATCTTCCTCAGGGAAAGAAAGGTTCCTTCATTATTTCAGTTGCTTGATTTGGTGTGACATAAAGCAACATCATTCACATAAAATATATTACTACTATAAAAACAACAAGACTGACCTGGCTGCACTGGTGAGCTCATTGTGGGAATCAGGACTGATGGATGAGGATTCAGAGGAACAGCCTGTGTTCAGCTGGCACTGGTGGTCTGAGAAGGGCTGAGAAACCTAGAATGCAAGCAGAATGCAATGTGTGAGATACAAATATGGCAATCACACCAAAAAGGAAACATAGAGAGCTGGCCTTGAACCTCAACTCTGCCACAGCTTGACTAGGTCTTTTGAGATAGTACACATCAACCTCTCAGGTTTCTAATTCTTTATCTATAAAAGAGTAAACCAGTGGTACAGCCCTCACCTGGATACATGAAATTCTGTGTCTGATCTGCACAGCAAAATAAAAGAAAATGAGCTGGGCACCAGTAGCTCATGCCTATAATCCTAGCTACTCAGGAGGCTGAGATCTGAGGATCGCAGTTCAAAGCCAACCTGGGCAGAAAAATGCCTGTCAGACTCTTATCTCCAATTAACCACTCAAAAACCAGAAGTGGGGCTCAAGTGGTAGAGTGCTATCCATGAGCATAAAGAGGCTCAGGGACAGTGCCCCAGCCCTGAATTCAAGCCCTACAACCGACAAAAATAAATAAACAAAATAAAATGAAAAAATAAAACTTAATAAATTAACAGCTGGGCAACAATGACTCACAATTCTAATCCTAACTGCCTCAAGTACCTGAGATCTGAGAATTGTAGCTCAAATTTCAGGCAGAAAAATATTTGAAACTCTAGCTCCAATTAACCAGCAAAAAATAAAAATAAAAACAAAACGCTATAAGTAGAGTTGTGGCAAAACAAGGTAAGCGTGAACAGGAGAGCATGAGACCCTGAGTTGAAGCTCCAACACACACAAAAAATGGAAATAAAGTAATAGGTCTAGAAGGAATCTATGCATGAGAAAGCACTTCTTATAGTTATGATTACTTCACTACTTATGATTTCCCATGATTAATACTATTAAAGAAATTATAAATACGTTGGAGTTTTACACATGAATATCTCATCATAGCATTTTTAACTATATCACTGTCAAATATTTATTTGAGATAGGACTTGCTGAGGGGAAAAGAAAACTTGATGGCTTCAATGGAAACAAATGGATCATACAGACTCTGAGTGACAGAAAACTTCCCACTACAATTGCTATTTCTCAAGTCTTTCATGGTTGTTCCAGCTGAAAGCATTAATAGCCAATCTTTCCAGGAGCAGCTCTAACAGGTTGGTTTGATGACATGAAAGGAATTTAAGGGACTTTCTGCTTTTAATTTGAATGCATTCCTACTTTTAGGCACTTAGACAGAGGAAAAGCAATTGGAAGGGCATTTCCTTAACAGTTTACTGGAACGTCAGACTTAAGAAAAAGAAGCAGCAGCTTTTAATGCTACACTTAATGAGTACTTTACTAAAATAGTACAGCCCAATCACACTATTTTTATAGACAGATGCTGTAAGTCTGAGAATTGTACATTTCTGTATCTTAAGAATCCAACATATTTATTGTGACTCGTTTTTCTCATCAGTATTTTGAGTGTTATGATTATTTTTTCCCAAGCATAAAACCTGGATATAAATACACACTTTTCTTTGTAGAATTACATATCACCAAGAATACCTATATTGTTTCTAAATTTAAATTTGCTACCTACTTATTAAAACAAACCAGTACAGCTCATCAGATATACCAAGCTACTTCTCATCCTATATTCAGTGATTCGTAAATACTAACATTTGTGTAGGGGTAGGAGTACAGGGGAGCAGAGCTGGCCTTCAGACTTGAATTTAGGGCTGGGCATTTGTCCCTGAGCTTCTTTTTACTTAAGGTTAGAACCTTATCCTTCGAGCTTCACTTTGGCTTTTTGGTGGTTAACTGGAAGTAAAAGTCTCACTGACTTTCCTGCCCAGGCTGGCTTCAAACCATACTCCTCAGATCGCAACCTCCTGAGTAGCTAGGGTTATAAGCATGAGCCACCAGTGCCAAGCAAGTATTAGTAATAGTAAAAATGTACATCTGAATAAATCATATTCAAGAAACATTCTGATGAGTTTTGTTGGCATTATCTCAAGAACACTAATTTTCATGTCAATAAGAAAGTAAATCTATGAAGATTAGAATAATAAGTAGATGTGGAAGAATGATGGAAGGATTGACATTGATCAAGATGCATTGCACTCTGATTTGTAGAATTGAAACTCTTTTATACAAGTACTTAAAAGATAAATAAAAATATTTGCAAAGGAGCATAATCTTCCTTCATTTATATATAAGGAAATGAACATTCTGATAGCAAAATGTAAATAAAAAGATGTTTATGTAAAATTCATTATAATGATAAAATCATTTGGATACTTTCTTAGAGTGAAAAAGCACTTTCAGACATATCACCACATTTGATATTATTTTCAGAAGAATCATTCTAATTGATAACTCTTCTTTTATGGCCTTCCCCTTTACCTAATAGGTGAAAAAAAAGTTGCATGCTTCATAATTAAATATACATAAAGAGAAATAAAAGTTGATTTAAATTTATGGACTGTCTTAAATTGACAAAGATGATTTCAAGATATTATTTTTACCAGCCATGGAGCTTGAACTCAGGGCCTGGGCACTGTCCCTGACCTTTTTTGCTCAAGGCTAGCACTTTACCTTGAGCCACAGAGCAAATTTCGGATTTTTCTGTGTATGTGGTATTGAGGAATAGAACCCAGGGCTTCATGCATGCTAGGCAAACACTCTACCACTAAGCCACCTTCCCAGCCCTGATTTCAAGATTTTTATCATTTTTATATTTTTAGATTATAGTATAAACCACTATAAGCATAAATGCCTATATATATGTATATGCTCTAGATACATTCTTGATTTTCAGCATAGCTAATTTTAAATTAAAAATGACTAACAGAGTCTAGGCATGATGGCACAGGTCTGTAATCCCAGTACTCAGCAGGTAGATATAAGAGGATCTTGAGTTCACAACCAGCATGGCTAAATACCCAGATTCTGTCTCAAAATAAAGCAAAACAGAGCAAATAAAATAACTCAGAAGAAAAACAGGAAATCTTTAGTATATAAGTAAAGTAGCTCTGAAAAGTGCCTTCCATTTTGGCAGTCTATTTAAAAATTACATATTTTTACTCTACAGTGTCCTTTTGCACAGCTGATATTTGTAAACATACTTCAACTTCACAACTTAACCAATAATTAATAAAAGCGTAACAATGGTAACTTTTGCCTTGTACTTCTACTGGTAACACACATGGCGGCAGCTGTCCATGACATAATGACTTGTGTGTAGTGCAACTATTAGGTTTTGTCTTCATAGCTATAGACTTGAACTGAAAAGTGAATCTGAGATGGAATTAGCAATCTGGCTTCCAAATATCGACCCATTTGAAATTTAAACAACTCCCTTTGATACTCAACCTTTTAAATAACTGCCTAATCATGATATATCTTTCTAACATTATGAAAGCCCTATGTTGATATACAATCATTTCCATTTGTTGCATTTCCATCTTTGATAAGTCACATTAAATCAAAATTATTACTACAATCAGTAATTCATAACTGGAATATAACTATTTAAAGAGTTCTCCTAAAATCTTTCAAGAGTATAGATCTGCTATATGTGCCTGCCCTCGCTCTCCTTACTGTCACAAAATTGGCAGATTCACAGCTTAATCTATACCCTTTACGGACAAAATTAACAGAATTTTTTAAAGGGTCAACGGTCACGAAAATAGGCAATTTATTCTCAAATCATTTCACCCTTCTTCATCCATGTGCTGACTTTTTAGGCAAGTTTTCCCCCCTCATATTCTTGTCAGTCTTACGAAATACGATTTCAAAATCATAGGAAGCTGCTCTTCAAATGAGTAAATACCCCAAAAAAAGAACAAAAAAGAAATGTGGACTATGAACACACATTCTCAGAGTATACAACAGAGCTATATATTCTTTCAACTAACAGTTTCAATTAATTTAAACATGAGTTTTCCCATGCTACAAAAATATACACTGAAGGAGATTAACACAAGTGCCATAAAAACAAAACACTGCTGTGCACCTTTTTCTCTTAAGAGCTAGAAATGGTTATTCCCATTTTTAACTATATTCTTTCAGCTACTTGGATCCACAAAAGTGAACTAAAAGTTTTCACTTCCAAAAGATCATCTCTCTATACTTACAAGTACACTATTGCTAACATATCTTGGAATTCGGCATAGGGAAAACATCCCAAGGGGTAACATCTTAGAATATCTTCGCTTATCTACATACTTGGGAAGAGAATATGATCTCTGATCTCTACAACAGCCCTTTGAGATAAGAATGTGTTGTTATCATTCTCCCTTTCCAGATGAATGTGAGCCTTAGTTTTGAAGATTTGTCCCTGCCTTCAGGAAAGGAGCTATGGGAGGAACCTCCACTGGACACTTCTTTGCCTCCTTTCCAGATAGAGGAGGTTCTCACTACTTTCTTTCAGGCTTTCCTTTCACTTTCAAATAAACTTACTTATTTATTATTTTTAAATGCTTTGTCCCTGAATATGTGGACAACTGGACAAGTTGGTCTTCTGACTTTCTGGCAATATTCTTTGTTGCTCCTCAAAGAAATACAGGTCATTCTCGACATTGTCCCATTCGTTAGGAAATGGAAAGACTTGGAAAAAATTATATTAAGTGAAGAAAGCCAGGCCCAAAGAAACATAGGTCCCATGGTTTCCCTTATTTGCAATAACTTAGTATATGCTTAGGACAAGCAGAAAAGGTCAAAGCTATGCACATATGACCATATAAGATGATATTAAGTGAAATGAAACCCAAGATAGGGACACAACTTGTTTTTTCTTTCTTGCTATTGTTTTTAACGTATCTAAAATGTACTGTGTGATTTTTTTTGTTTCTCTTGTATGTTCTTCATCCACGGTATAACCCCTGTTTTCACTGTGTTTGATTCCATTGCCCTGCATCTTGTATATACATTTTTCTAATTTGGGGAGGGGAAGGGAAATAACAAAATGCTGAAATAAAGATTCAGGTTGACCTATTTTAACAATGAGATGTACAAGACACTATGTTGAAAACAAACTTTAC